AATCAGCCGCCTCTTGATGTTCAATATATAGATAGGGTGATGAGGTCCGAAATTCGGGTGTTAATGTCGACGTTATGTAGTAAATCTTACCTAATCTTGCTAGCGAAGGTAAGATCTTTCTATAAACCCCGCAAGGAAAGTTACGAGGAGATATAACAGCAGAGCTATAACACTAATCGAATAACCTTTTCTGGGGTAACTTACTAACCTCACGTAGGTAGTTTTGAACGATGGCAATACTTCTTGGTACTTTTAGTCCGCCATGAAAAGTCCGAATTCAAATACTTTCTTTTACCTTGAACCGGTATGTGTTCTTGTTGACGTGCCGGTATAACTAAGTTTCGATAGCGACTGCTAGGTACTTAAGTCGTTGTAGTGCAACGATCGCCAAGAAGAAAGTTGATAAATGTGTGTAGAGATTGGTATCTATATCGATGCCTCTCGCAAATCTTCAAGAATGTACGAAACCGCAAGCCATGCAAAACCAACACATCCAAAATAGGTCACCTACCCAGATCTGAGGAAATCATCATGCTCGTTTGGCCGCTTTGGTGATAGCCAAGGTGACCCATCGTGTTACCTGTACACCCTGTAGTACCGTGCCTCTGTGCGTACCTCCCTCCAGATCATCCCCGCAAAAAACTTTCTCTTTAGTCTGAGGGTTTATGGTTTTGTGGATAAGCCACCGGCCGGTTATGCAGTCAATCATTTTACCACCCAATCACAATCATACGACCGTCAATAAAGTAGTTTGTTATTGGGTGGATGAATGAACACCGACAATGTACCAAAGTACCTTGCCCCAGATCCCTTCTCCATGCCCATTTGTTATAAGGATCCGGCCCTTTCAGTTTAGTTGCCTTCAAACACGTTTATATGCAACCCCTTCACCCTCTTATCCGAGCGAATATTTCTTCATCTAACGACATAGAACATACCTAGAACATCACATACAGGTATCACATCTCCACTATCTCCACTCCATTCACGATTGGCAAATCAGTCCTCTCAATGAATGGTAAGGTTTATCACGAAGCCGCTCAATGTTACATAGAATAATTGACCCCCGATCGCAAAAAAGATAAGCTGAACATACCAGCGTTGAGAGCATATCGGCATCGCCGAAACGTACCGAAACCTATTCTTCAAGACGCAAATAACATTTACCACTTCTTGTTGAACACCACAACACTGAGAGAGGACGGAAAATTATCTTCGAAATGCCCGGAATCTTACCCATGAAGATCATAAAGGTGGGCTCGTCGAGTTCACAAAGTCGTATTGCCCAAGCCTGCGATAGATGTCGAAGCAAAAAGATACGATGCGATGGCATTCGACCATGTTGTTCACAATGTTCTGGTGTTGGGTTCGAATGTAAAACAAGCGATAAATTGAGTCGACGAGCATTTCCTAGAGGATAGTGAGTATAACGGTCTTTCATGCCTACAGTCGTTACCCATATCTTTCTCGGTATTTGATCGTCTAGCATAAAATTGGTTCCTCATTCTCTATGGACAATCTTCCGTACACAATCGCTGACTTGCCGTCTTGTAGTACTGAGTCTCTAGAGGAGAGAGTTCGTACATTAGAGGGGGAGATAAGGGAGATGAAGGAATTACTTGATGGAAAGGATGAGAAGATAGATATGCTCTCCAAGATGCACGACAATCGACGTCCTTCACTCTCTTCAACGTCAACTTCACCTACTGTCGAAAGTCGAAAAGAGTCATCACCTCCGAAGGAAGACATGTTTAAGGTCCAAGCTCCACCCCATTTATTGGAAGGCGATCATTCCAACTTATATTTCATGGGAGCATCAAGTGGGAGAACTTTCGTCGGTAGGAAATCATAAAAATTAAAAAAATCATTCAAGGTTTACCTCGCTAATATCTTTCTAGATATCTGCAAGCGTAAGATCCAAGACAGCGGCAAGTCTTCCGTAGGGTTTGACACAGAAACATTTTTGAACCCCCAAAATGAATCTACCTCGTTATCAACGATTACACCAGCCCCAAGCTTCGTACCCCCACGCTTGTTCTCAGACAAATGTGTTAATGTCTTTTTCCAAGAATGGGCACCATTATTTCCCGTCATACACAAGCATAGTTTCTTGCCTCTATACGATGAATACTCATCGAATCCGCATCAAGTGAAAGACCAACATAAGTTGGCTCAGTTACACCTTGTCTTTAGTATCGCTGGACTCTCCACTGATTGCCCCGATAAGGAACAAACATCATTATGTGAGAACCAATGGCGCACAGCTCTCAACATTATTTTGATGGAGAACAACATATTGACACTCCAGTGTTTGATTTTGGCGCTTATTTATTGCATCCAAAAGGGGGACTATAATAGTCTACAGCATTACAAAGGAATTGCTGTTGGTCTTTCTCACCGACTTGGTTTACATCAAAGTCAGAAGCGATTCCCTTTTGAAATATTGGCTGCTGAGACGAGAAAGAGGGTTTTTTGGACTTTGTATACTGTTGATTGGTAAGAACCATGCTAGAGCTTGTATTGCAAAGCTAATCTTCTATAGTTTTTCTGCTTCCCTCCTTGGCCTCCCTAAATTGTTAAAGGAAGACGATATCTACGCGGAGTATCCCTCGGATATAGATGATGAACATATGAATGAGAAAGGATATCAACCTATGCTTCCAGGGGAACCTACCAGAATTTCTAGTGCTCTTGCTCTGTTCCGATGCTCACGCATCCTGTCTAAAGTATTGGAGCAAATTTATTCCTCAGCTACAACTCACGATTTATCGTTGCAAACACTTTTTGCTCTGGGGGCTGAATTGAACGAATGGTCTGATAATTTACCAACTCATCTGAAGCTTACATTCGTTCAAGATAAACCATCAACAGATATCACAGGCAGTCGATCAGCTTTATTGGTAAGCCAAACAATGGCGTGTGGATTTTAGTTTCACTCTAACCAAATAACAGTCTCTTGCGTTTTATTATATTCGATCATTGATTCACCGCCCTGCTATTGGTTCCTCCCTTGGATCTAAAACTTCACCATCCGTCATTGCCTTGGCTGATTCCAGCAAACATCTCATACAAATCACACAGCTTCTTGAAGAAAGGAATATGACTTTTTCATTCTGCACAAATAAAAACGCAATGCTTACGTTGTGTGGTCTAAGCCTTCTGTATCAGGGTCTCGATATTAAACAGGAAGGCAAGTTGATGCAAGAAAGTCAACGACTCGTCAGAACCGTTATCAGATTCCTAGAAAAGGCCAATGCTCCTGGTGCGGCCGACTTCAAGAGACTTGCGTCGTCTTTAATTACTTTGGACAGTCAAAGTCTAGACTGTAGAACCAAGTCGGCACTATTACGCACTTCTTCGGCCATGTCTGCCCCAAAAGTTTCAAAGCCAACACCACCCTCCTCCATCGTTCCGAGAAAAAATATGCAACAGCAACACCCATATATGCATATCAGTGCTAGCATGAGCGAGAATGACATATTAGCACAACAAGAGAAGCTTCGACGAGCTACATTACCAAATTTATACAATCACACTTCGCAAAACCAGACTTCGGCTCGATCATCCTATGACGGAACAAGGACCGATTCTCCGATGACCAAACGCGAAAATCGCAGCTCTCTTTCCCAACTATCAAAGCCTCGATATAACACAAATCCAAAACCACCGAATTTGGATTATTTATCCTTGAGCAATACGCCAATTACATCACAACAATCTTCACCAACAATTTCGCGCACTGCTCCTCCAGGATCAAGCTCTCATAGCTCTCATCTAATGTACAGCAAGATTGATAATCAACAAAGTGAGTGGGCTATACTCGCTTCTTTGGAAAGTGGTGAAAGCAACATACACAGTGCTATCTATGGTGGACCACCGCCTAGTCTTTCGGAAACAACTCAAAGTGCTCCTTCAAATTCAAGTTATGAGGATTGGTCTTCAACTACCTTTTGGGACGATATGACTTCTACAAATATTCACGATCCCTTGGCAAATCCCGGACCTACACAGAGTGTATTGAGTTTTAGTGGGGAGAGTCATAGTTCTGGTGACGAACTATCCACTAGTGATCTTGGAATGAGTGGAAACACGCAGTACTTACACGAGTCGTTGCCACATTGTGATGATTACATACTTCAGCTCATGCAGTATTCCTAAGCATTCGTCTTTTTTAAATACCCTTGGCGTCTTGTTAGTCTTATTATGGGTTATGGGAGAGGTTATGCTGTGTTGTGTCTTGAGAATACCCATATGAGTGTGAGATTGGCGTTCAAATATCTGGGAGGGCGAGACTTACAATTTGATACTATGAATGGTCTAGCGTGGTCTGGGCTTGAATTGGTGGTTGTTACGGCGTTTATGGTTGATACTTACGTTCGTTACTATTCGGCGTACTTGTATCACTCGATGCACTTGATTCGGACCTATTTGCACTTATATGCTCATTTCAACTTTGATAGATTGGTACCTAGAAACTAGACATAAATAACAAACTAAAATTCAAACTAGGCTCGCTAAAATTCAATGTGTTCCTCGAAATGTCTAGTCGCTCAATACTCTAACATGAATGGTACATGCACCTCGGCCCTACATATATTACCCACGAAAACTACATGACACTAAAAGTTTCTACTTTCCTAAATAGTCCAATTCATTTCCCCACAGTCCCAACCGGAATCTCAAATCATAAATTTCCTCGTGAATTTTGCGCATGTCATGAGCTTCCCCGGATTTTACCGAAACAAGACTAGTTTGGTTCACCGGACCTCGGTCATTATCACATGCTAGTGTGGATGCGACCCTGCGACTCGTGAACAACCGTTACTGCTTGCGGACTTCATTTAAGTACCTTACTCCCGTACCTGAATTTGTTGATAACAGTTATATCATTTACTACTCAGCGAATCTGCAAATCTGTTGGAATTTATCGATTGATACATATTACATCGCACAGTTGAAACAAGTTAAAACTAAAGCATATTAATACAACAATTACAATCATGTCTCTCAAGAACGGTAAGCTCCTCCATTCTCCAACCCTACCATTCCAAATCATCCTTTTACTAACCCATCAACCTGCAGACGCATTCCCCTCCTCCGCAGCCTTCGATGCCATCTCTTCCTCTCTCGAATCATCCCCCACCGACCGCGCCGACGCCATCAAACAAGGCAACGCCGTCTTCGCCTTCACTCTCAAGAACAAAGCGGGTGAAACAGCCGATTGGCACATCGATTTAAAAAAAGAAGGCAAAGTCGGAACAGGGCTTGGTGAAAAACCAACAGTAACATTGAGTCTGAGTGATGAGGATTTCGGAAAACTGGTAGCAGGAAAGGCAAATGCACAGAGACTTTTTATGGGGGGAAAACTGAAGGTTAAGGGGGATGTGATGAAGGCGACGAAGATGGAACCGATTTTGAAGAAGGCGCAAGGAGGTGTAAAGGCGAAGTTGTAGATGGGTGGATGCTGGTGTAGATGGGGAAGGGGACGGACGAGGATTGAGAGCGCGGTTTTGCTACGCTTTGTAATGTGGGTTTAGATGTCGAGTCGATAGATCTGATGTGGAGTGATGTTCTGGGGCAACTTTCGACCGGCAAATACGAGAATCGGCTTGGATAGATTAGTTTTGGCTTTTGGTAGCAGGATAGAATGCGTGCGGATCTGCCGGGTGAGAAGACTTGGCTAGTGGAACCGTACTTGATTGACGCCTTCAGATCTTTAGATAGGGAATAGCAGATGTGTTATCATTTTTATTTTGTTATTCTACTATTGTATACAATTCTTCTAGATAGCATGAAGCTCGATGCGTTGAATTTTGCATAGTTTGCTTGTTTTACACATTTACCTACCTGCTTCTAAACACTATAATGCGTCTCGGCTGATAGCAGGTCGGATCGAGTAGAGTACAGATCGAGTAGCACCTACGATGTAGGTCCTAAATGCCAATATGACATCCTGTCTAGAGAGCTAATCTATGGATGTGTAGGATTAAGCAATCGTGGCCTAGCGCTCTCGTTTATTCTACTGAATAAATGGCTAAAGATCGTTTACCTACCTATGACATGGTGATTTTCTCGCTACCTCGAAAGAAATTTTCGTTGAAAGTGATCTGGATATCACATTTGATCGACTGTCACTTTCGATCAACTCAATCTTTCAATCTTTCAATCATGGAATACCCCTCATCAGTGGATGTATTTACAATTTTTTCATCAGAAGTGAATTTGAATACCACTTTCAATCATCACTTCAATTAATCCAATTTTCCTGCTCATAAATAGCCTTCCCCCTTCAGTTTCTTTTCACAAAACTTCTTCTCTTTTGCACAAACAACCATCAATTCATTAATTCAACTGATTACGGTTTGTATATACAACTCATATATCTTTCATCAATTCGAGATTGAAGGAGAAGTTCTTGAACACCTGGGTTCTTCTCCAATTCGATTCAAGTTTTTTCTGCAATCAGGACCTCTTTCTTTCCTCGCAGTTTTACCTTAGTAGCAAGACTAAACCTCAAAGAAGGCACCTCGATAGTCTCTATTTCTTCCAATTGCCAAGCAAGAGAAAGATACATCCAGTAACTGTCTCTTGAATTTCTTCTAACCGACACCCTTCAAGTGGCGCTATACGTTAGTGAGAACGTTGGAGTCTCGAATATTTTACCTTATCCTTATTGCTTGTTCATTGCATACTAATGCTGGAAACGTGATAGATAGCATGGCTTCAGAAACTCCGTTATTGCTCGGCCTTGATCGAGACCAGTGACTCTCAACCTTTTAAGGGGCACTATCCAGGAGTCAGTCAGAGAGAATTACCCTATCGAGCTAGATCGGCCATGGGAGACGAGGCCAGTCCTTATGCATTGGCTAGACAACCTGCTGCACAGACTAACACCAGAGACTCTCAATATGCTCACCGAAAGTCATAGGCAAAGAAACTGGCGTCAGGGAGATGTTGTCAGAAATAGAGGTGCTGCACGACCTATTGCTACAAGAGCAGCACGTCATCGTGCCGCTGTTAGAGCTAACAAATTTCAACCGCGAATCAGATTGAACCTTATAAATAGGGAACCATCTCTACCAGCAGGGACTGGGGTACCGAAAAATGAGATGCGGAATCCTCACACATAGTCGGAGTTGTCTATAGCCGCACAAGCAGCGCGCACTACACAAATATTACGGGCTTTTAGCAGACCGACTGATGAATTGAGGAGACGTATTTTAGAGCCGGAAGCGGCGAATAACGGATTGTGGACTCAGGTCTCAGAGTTCGCGGAGGCGGAGACGAAGCGAGAAGTAGAGACCGATGGATTGAGGGGACGTAAGTCAGAGTTGGAGACGGCGAATAATGGATTGACGGCCAAGGTAGTCGAGCTAGAGCGCGCTGCAACTGATCAAGCAATAGAGAAGCTGATTTTGAAAGATCGCACTGAACTGCTGGAGGCAACCCTGGCCACCAGAAACAGACAGAGGAGACGCGAGTAATGGATGGGTTATGGGAGAATGAATCGATTCGGTCGATGGAGCTTTGACAAGTTTATTTCGGCATTCATAGGGACTTCAATTATTGCATGGCTGGTCATTATGGTTGCTTATGAGGAACAAAAGTCATGACTAGGTGGGTATATCACGTGGTTCGCTGGGTAGAATTTCTGCATTCTGTCCCTTCAAGGATTGCAAAGATTACGACAATATTACGCACAAGAAGGAGATTTTATATCATACAATGGATTGATCACATCGAGGGTTCATCCACGGGAGCCTATATCATTGAGTTAGCTCATCTATTAGTTTAGCTTGCAATCAATAAAAGTGCTTTTATTGTTAACCGAAAATTCAAGATTCATTACAAATTTTGCATTTCTCAGTTGAAAACTCTCTTTTACCCCTCGCTTACTCAATTTTAGCCAACGAATAATTGTATCACTGCGTCTACTACAATACATTGGACGGTAGATATAGCCAGGCTACGTGGCTCATCAATAGCAAAATCATCCCAGAGTGTCCACAGATCTCCTAGACTTATCAAGAAATAGAGTATCGCAGCCTACCTCGACGTTTAAACACAGCACAGATCCTGAGGTTGTTTCACAGTGAGGCAACACAAATAATATCAAGCTTGGCGATATTATAGATTTGTGCGACTACTTAATGGAAGCAATTATTCATCCTAAGCATTTTAGGGAAACTCGGACCTCTACGCCGATGCATGATGGAACTTTGTTTGTTTGAAGACGCAAAGATTTGATTCATCCACCATTGGATGTGCTTGTAGAATCATCTGGAAGCTCCAATTCGTCTCCGGTCCACCCCATTCTTGCATAATCCAGCTTCCTCGATTGTCGAGCTTGAATACCCTTTATGATATTAGTCATTTGGTAATTATTGAGGATGCAAATGTTGTGGTTAACGAACCTTTTCCACAGTATCCTCTACAATATATCTGAAAATCTTGACATCCCTATTTTGACCAATTCTTTGAACCCGAGCGATCGCTTGAGCTTCAACCATTGGATTCCACTGTGGCTCCAGTATGTATACATAATTGGCGACGGTAATGTTGAGACTATGGATTTTAGTCTGCAGAATTTACTCGGGAACCCAGAGAAACATACCCCTCTGCCCCTGTCCCAGTTGTCATTATGAGTATCCGTATAGTTTCATCTGCGGTATATCTTTGTAGGATGTCATATCGTTGTGCACGGGTGCAACTGCCATCGATCCGTTCGAAAGGTAGCCCGCAGAGCTTAAGATGATGCCCAACAAGGTCTAAAGATGTAGTCCAACAGGAAAATATGATACTGATATCGTGTTAGTTCTGTATTTACACTGGGCAAAGCTGGTACAGGGTACCTCTTCCCTCTTGTCTGATTTCGGGTTATATCCTTCAGCAGTTCTTTCATTTTGGAGGCGATCCCAGTGCTCTCGAATCTGCTTGATGTTGTCAATGAATAAGCCTTGCGTGTGCTTCCGACCTCATCGGCAAAGCAAACATTGTTGATAAGTATCTGGCTACAAATTGAACAACGTGAGTGAAAATCATCTTTATCTGGAATGAGGGAGTTCCTGTATCTTGAAACACAATCAAAGCATAAAAGATGTCCACAAGTAGTGAAGCGGCCACGATGGATGACACTACTGCCGAGGCCTTCGATCTCTACATTGCAATCGTGGCATCTAGACTCCTTTTTCTCTTGCAGTAGTCCAAGGGCTTGCTCAGGATCAAACTGCGTATCAGTCTGAGAAATCGAAGAACATCTCTTGAGAAATGTGCCATGATTACAAATTCGCCGCAGTTGTAGTTGCAGTTGGAAGATTCCAAAGTAGCCTTTTTTATTCCTACCTTGACTATCTTGTTGTTTCACGGCCTGTATTTCCTCTCGTTGCGTCAAATCATACAGCGACTTTTCCTCGAAAGAGAAGTAGACTGGCCGATGTACCTCTACTACACTTGGTAGGTTTAGTAACTTTTTGGTACGTCGTAAGCATATTGAGTCGAGCAATGTTCGAAGATTGACAGCTCCTTCATCCTTTTCTTTCAGAAGTGGATTTATGATGTGTTTCCGGAACACTGGAAGTTCATCTAGGGGCGAGGAACGAACGAAAGAAACCAACGCCGCGAGGTCATCCAAACTGTTTTGAATAGGGGTACCTGTCAGACACCATCTTATGTTTGCAGAAAGTTGACTCATTGCTCGAAATAGCTTCGTCTTCATGTTGCGAATCCTATGAGCTAAGAGATGGTAAGTGAGCAAGAAACCTACTACAGCTTGCCGGACGTTGATTAACTACCTTCGTCAAGAACAAGACGGAACCATTCAATACCATAGACTGGACTTTCTGGATCTAGTGATTCCGCAGAGATTGTATCATATGTACTCAGTACGATATCCGCATTGATCAGGGGCTTACGGCTTGTCTCGCGCCCACGACCATGGTATATGTTAATGTTCACATATCCCCGACAGTGTCTATTGACTTAGCTTTAGTCTGGATGATTGAGCCCAGGTGATATCTTACTTGGCGATTTCCTCTCTCCATCCATCGATGAGTACTGATATCTAATCAACTGGGAACAATTTATGAAAGCAAAAGGTAGACATACAAGATGTTTGCACAATAACGAGTGTCGATCTTGAACGAACCTTGTATTTGAAGCTTTTGTCGTGCTCAAAGCCTCGAGGGGAACTATCAAAGAAGTCCTCGGCTTCTTTGGATGTCTGCATAATACTGGCAAGTACTGTCAGTGTCTTTCCGAGGCCCATGTCATCGGCCAAAATTCCCCCACCACATTCGATTGGACTATCGCCACGTTTATGACCTGATATTCTGTGCTGATAACTCCGATATAGTTAGAATAGGAGAGGCCACGGTCTTATAACAACTTGATTAGAATCGACTCACCAAATCTGGTTTTCGTATCTTTGCGGAGTCCACAAAGAATATTCATCGGGAATTGAACCAAATTCCCTCTGCGCTATGAAGTCTAGTGCTTCTGCTTGGTGTCTACTCATTCGAACTCAACGATTACTAAAGGCAGTCTCAAATAAAGGGCAAATAGCGTACTGCAGAAGGGGTGTTATTATCTTGATGTTTGCCTCGATTCTTTTCAGGTTCTGACCCCTTGTCAATGAATTCAAAATCTTTGTGACCTTCTTGTGAAGTTTTGGTTGAAGTCGATTATCCTCCTTAGCATCTATATCGACGCCCAGAGAATATTCGTTTGACGAATTGATAGCAAGTGGCCGTTCACTTTCCATAATCATGCTCCTAGGTGCCTTATCGAACGTCAAGAAATGGGGGTTTTGATATTCGGCATATTTCTCGATTTGTGTCGTCTCAGGATGCTGCAAGTAAAATTTTGCGGTCGACAACAGTGTACCAACGGCATTACATATATTTTTAGGACCAGCCACTGTGACATCAACATAAATATACATCTTTCTCTCGGCTGCTAATTCATGATTGAGTTCAGCTGTTGAAGGAAGTGTCTCAAAATGACAACCTAGATTCTTCATCTGGCAAAGTACTCGGCCGGTCTTCTCATTGAGAATTGCAAAATCTGCATGGGAATCTAATTCATCAAGAGCGGAGGTGGTTAGACAAACAATCTCACTATCAGACTGAAAGCGAAGCTTGAACGAGGGCGCATCTTTTGAGTTAGTGTCGATGGCATTACTCCCAAAAACCTCCTGTGTCGTGGTATCGAGGAGCTTAGTTTGTATGTTATGAATCTGATTTTTCTCAGTAAGATTTTCTATTTTAGTTCTTTCTTATGAAGCACTTACAAGCCCAAAGCATGCTAGATTGCTATATCCAGAATCATTCCGTGTTCCTATATATGAATTGGATAGTGAGATAGGGGGCAAGTCGAACTCTGGATCAGCAGCGAATGATCCGCCATGATCAGAGTTCTCGTGGCTTTGAGTCCCTGAATGGAACACAGGATCTCTCTTTGTCTTTTTGTAGGAATGAAAAGCCCTAGTCCTACATTTTTTGTGTTAGCCACCAAGTTATAGGTTAAGTATACGAACTTTATGTCCCTTTTTAACTTACGGTCCATCCAGATCAAATGAGGGTTCGAGGATATCAGGTAGACCCCTTTTGTTCTCTTGATATGAATGTGCCTCTACATTGGAAGAAGACATTGCTGTGATTTATCAATGAGAAGGCGTTGTGCATTGTTATGATTTGGATGCACAGAACGAACTGACTACCTGGTATGTAATAACGAATGGCAAAATACAAACACTGTTCAGCGGATTTCAAACAATTGAAAAACTGGGAGCATGTGGTTTTGTAGTACAATGCCAATGAATGCTGCGCCCCGACGAGGCAACGAGGCTCTGTTCAGATCACATAGCTTGTAAAACTGCATATGCAGGAAGTTAGGCTGACTCTTCCATGAGATAAGCAAGTAACTTAGTCTTCGCAGTCATTGATTTGTTTTTGTGAAGGATGAGTTGCAGTACGGGGCAGTGCGTGTTGAGTTGAGACCAAGTTGTTAACGTTCTGGATTCGTGAGACGGGCAATACTGAGGTGCAGAATACGTCAGCCACATCCATCAACCAATTGTGGCTAAATCATGAATCTTACTTCTCGGATTTATTACACGTCATTTTTTCCATCCAGGTCAATAATCTGGACTGCATTTTGAAAATGAGAGGAATTTGTATCCTTTAAATCAACTTAATTAATCAAATCATTTGGAACGTTGAATAGTTTTCAAACATTGACAGTTTCTTCGACATTCCAGGCATGGCCGACTCGTTTCAAATTGCGTTGGCAAGCTTCAAAAAACGGTTGACCCAAGAGGAACAGTTGCGATTTCAAACCACAACTCTGGACGAAGTGAAGACCGCCATACTGAAGATACAAGATGACCAAAGCCGGCGTAAAAGCATGATGAATCTCTCTCGTGTCAAAGCCTTTATCGAAGCATTTGAACAATATTCAAATGTTGTCGAAGTTTTCCTCAACACATCTTCAGTGTTGTGTTTCATTTGGGGCCCTATGAAATTTTGTCTTCAGGTTGCAAGCTCATGGGCCGAGTCTTTCGACACACTATTGGACGCATATCAGCAACTTGCGGAAAACATACCTCTTCTCGAGCAATATGGTGACCTATTCAAAGGCAATTCGTATATGGTTAACGTACTTGCGTTGTTCTATGAAGACATGCTCGACTTCCACCGAGCGGCTCTTAGGGTTTTCAGCAAATCAAGTAAGTGTATTCTACAACCTATCATCTAACAATTTGTTTGAAATTTCCAAACGAAGCGTTACTTGATTTTAAGTGTTTGAGATTATTCGAATCCTCAAAATACTAAAAAGGATTTCTTGTTTGTAAATCTCCGAACATACTGTTGCCCCGTATCCGACCTTTTAGGGTCTGTTCGCTTACGTCTCAGCGTGGAAACAAATATTTAGGGCGACTTGGAAAGACTTCAACAGCAAATTTCGGCATATACTAGAGAGTCTAGCCCGACATAAAGCTCTAGTAGAAAGCCAAGCTACGATTCTTCAATTCGAAAAGCAGCAAAAAGATTACACTAAAGCCGAAACTTCGCTTTCAACGATCCAAGAATCAATTCTTCGTATTCAAGAATACCAGAGGGAGCATCTTAACCACAAAAAGCAGTTCGAGACTATCGAGAAGGAAGATAACAAGCGTCAACGACTAGCTTTGCTAGATTGGCTCGCTTCCACCGATCCGATACCTGACCATGAGTTCGCGGTCTCTATGCGAGCCGATTATCCCTCCTCCGGCAACTGGGTTTTGCAAGAGAATAAGTTAAAAGCGTGGCTTGATCCTCAACAGTTAACCGTCCCACTTCTCTGGATTAATGGTATTCCCGGAGCAGGTAGGTATCATAGAGTCGCATAATACTAGCTTTATGGGCTAATTGAACTAGGAAAAACCATATTGGCATCCGTGATCATTGGAGAATGCATGAAGAACAGCTCATCGTCGACAATATTCTTCTACTGCAAATATGACGATAAACAAAGAGACACTTTCCTAGCTGTGGCTCGAGCTATGCTCTCTCAACTGCTGAAGCAAAACGAAGTTCTTCTACCTTACCTTTATAGCGAGTGTATCAACAGTCACTCTGTTTCACTTGTCTCGCATGAAATGTGTACGAAGTTACTCGAGGTGTGCTTTGAAACTGTATCTAAATCCGAAAAGACGTATGTGATAATTGACGGGCTGGATGAATGCGAGCCGGTTCAGCGGAGACTCTTGCTCTCTACTCTGGTCTCTATTGTGCAAAAGACTTTGTATCCAGGAATGCTCCGCTTACTGATTGTCAGTCAGAACGAGCCCGATATAAAGAGACACCTTCGGCAATGCTCAGATTTACGTTTGTCGAGCTCATGTAACAGATCTGATATTGAAGTCTATTCTCGAGTGTGGGCAGAGAAAATACAGCAGAAGTTTGTTGTACCAGATGATACAAAGACATACATCATAAAGGCTGTGTCTGAAGGTGCAGATGGCAAGTGCTCCCCAGTACCCCACTGTCTCGATCTAACCGGTCTCAGGGATGTTCTTATATGCAAAGCTAACCCTAACTAATCTTTATGGGCAAACATCTCGTGAAAAACTATTCGAGGAACTTCGGCCGGGAACATTTCCAGTTGGATTTGAACAAGCGTGAGCGAAAGAACCTTGGAAAAAGATCGAAATTGTTTATCATTGCTGACAATTCAGATACTCGAGGATTGTGTGTCGAGTGTATCAGAACCCCAACGAGTCGGAGCGAGCTACCGCAGAAAGATTATTGGGCTGGATTTCATGTGCTAAGCGTCCCATGCGATGGCATGAAATACAGGCTGCAGTATCAATTAACATGGATGATGAGGATGTGAACTTTGAGGGTGCGTCAATTGATCGAACCCCCATGCCCCTGTATGAAATCCATGATGGGATTATTTGTCTTGTTTCACGACCAAGTTGACCTTTTAAGACCGCCAACTACGGACTCATATTCAGGATCTCTGTGGGTCTCTCGTGGAAGTCCTTCCAGGGGACCGAGTGCAACTCGTGCACAGCACCGCGAAATCGTACGTTAAACATATATGACACCATGTACTGGCTGAATATTTCCAAACATAACTGATGAATACGAGAAATAGTTACTTGGTTGATAAGAGCCATGTAAGAATTATTATAGAAGAGCAGAAACTGGCAGTAATGTGCCTACGCTACCTGCTTTTCCAATGCTTTGACCCGACTACACCTGACAATCAAATCCATCACTATGTCAATGAAGGTTATTATGCATTCCAGGAATATGCAATTGTGTATTGGGTTGATCATCTAGAGTCTCTGATTGAGCAATTATCACCATCGGACCTTGAAAACTCAGAACAATGCGACCTTGGGTCCGCCATTGCGGAATTTTACGAGATTTTTGGGGTGCAAAGCACAAAAAGGTCGGATGTCCTCTCCTTCTTAGAAGATCGATGTACTCATCTTGTTGGGTCCGACCAACTAGACTCACTTCTTCTTCTGCTGAGCCACACTAGAAAAGTTCGGGCCGCTCAAGATGAACTTACAGAGCCAACGGAGTTAAAGATCATCCTCGAGAAAGTACGATCCTATTTAGCCAAACTGTCCAAATCAAAAAACTTAACGATTGTGGAAAAGCAAAAGCTCAATACTTATTACGGTTCAAAATGGATCAAATGTCCTCGCCATGCATGTTTCTACTTCCATGAGGGGTTTCCTGACGAATCTATTCGTGATAAGCACCTTCTACGACACGAGAAGCCCTTTTTATGTACAGATCTAAATTGTCTGAGAAAACATTGGGGATACAGTACCGAGAAGGAACTCAAAAGACATGTGCTAATAGAGCATCCCGATCCAGCAGCTTTCGGGGGGAAATTTCCAAAGGTCAAGAAAGAACCAGTGAAGCATCAATGTGATCGATGCGAAAGCTCATTTACAAGGTCATCAGGTCTAAAGATACACCAACGGAAACATGATGGAATAAAACCATTTAAGTGCGAATCTCCTGGCTGTTCAGCGGCATTTTCGAGGAGATGGGATCGTGATAGACATGTGAGGTCTACTCATTCAGGAATGGGAAATGCTAGTGGATCGCAATCACCACAATCTACGCCTGTTCAAAGTCTGCCATAGCCGAAGTGTTGCTCGACAACGAATTTGAACGAGAGGCCCTGAATAACTTTCCTTCATGGAAAGCCAAAGCTGACAGACAAAATAGCATCAACAATCTCTATTCTTGACCGAAGAATCTTCTGTATATTGTATGACGAGGTTAATAGGGTGGATAGTTGAAAGCACGATTCATAATACCATCATTCCATCCCAGATCCGCATTCGAGTGGAGACTTTGAGATACGCAGCTCCTTTTATGTTTGCAATTTAAAACTTGATACCATTCGGTCGGTATATAGCCATAACTATAGTATTGTCTTCACATCTGAGCCTTACTTGTTTGAGTAGTATATTTTCTCAGTGTTCATCGTATGATTAACATGTCATTCGTCATGAGGCCACCCTTAGTAATGATAAAAAGATGGAAACAGCATTGCGATTGCGATGCGACGAATTTCTTAGATTTCGTGAAAGAGAAATGATGCAAGGCGTTTTCCGTGTTTTTTATCCACTTTTGCTAATGTCAAATAACCAGACAGTGCTTTTTGGGGGTTCCTCATGATCGTGATTAATAAATAACGTGCCTATCATTAATTCTGAAATGTTAAGCTACATCATTTTCCCTTGAGGAAAATCTACTAGTAGCCATATTGTTTAGGGTTACCCTAAATTCGATCATTAGTAAGCAACAATACGAAAAAGATCAATAACCTCAATGCTATAGAACGTTTTATCGACGAAGAGATTCTGAATATGAGATAACATAGGTAGTACGACGCGACGTTATAGGCTCAGAAGATTTTACACGTGACTGTGTCACGTGTATATCATCAAATACCTACCTTTGAGGCTCTTCTATTGATTAGCAAGGGTTACCACGTGCTGAACGAGCGGTGCAAGAAAAAACAGGCTCTTTGTTGAGTAGTTGTCGCTTGATCCTCCAATACATATCGTCTGACGGAAGCGACTCCACCGAGTGGCTCCGTCAGACATGATACTTTCCTTCTTTTGGATTGTGCCCTCCACTCTTTTTTGTGTAAGTACCGTACTGCGATCGCTCACGTTCGAGATCACGTGCACATAGCTAGTATATATGAGCGCTTTACGAGCGCTTTGCTCCCGATTTTGTAGTTGTATATTCTAAGGATGTATTGTACCCTGCTAACGCAGTTCTTCTAAGGCAAAGTGTCACAGTTTTTTCGCACACGGTGTGGCCCCAATTTATTGCCACAAACTATCTGGAGACTAGGCACGGTCCACAGATATAAATGGCCTGGCCGAGTCATAATCACGTGACACTACACAAGCTCTAGCAAGCTGACTACACATTATGGTGGTTTTGATTGGCCAGAAGCTTGGTTATATAATCCAAATCACATGATCAAAACTATGCACTCGTGAGGGAGGGAGAGAGGGTGCGCAAAGCACGCCCTCTCGCCCCTGAGTGCGCTTAGATGTCTTCGCTATCTTGTTTCAGGCTCTGTGTGCAATCCGCACGCAATATAATAAGAAACAGAGGAGCTTTCGGTGTTACTAACGAAGAGCATTTTGTCACATGTCGCATAGATCTTTGAGAAATCTCAAATTTTTAAATAACGCAGATTTCCAAAGTGTTTTTAACTAGCCGGAAAGCTTTTCATAACTTCAGGTAGTCACCACTTGAAATGAGCATAATGGATCATAGATCACGAGACCAACAACCCAATCACAAAGCAAACTCGCTGATTGGATGTGAATCTGGGAAAGACATGACACTGCATTCGCTTACTTGTCTAATGCCTGGAATAGCCAGCCAATATTCGTGTGAATAAGCAGTACATTTCATAAGCAGCTCTGCTTGAATGGTTTCCATATTGCAATGATACGCCTTGCCAACCAGTCCTTCCACCCGTTGATTTTCCAGACGTTCACCCATAGGATGGTTCATGCCTGACGAGAAATTACAAGATACTATTTTCAACACGCTTCTGCGTGTAGGCGAAGTTGCTATAATATTCGCCCATTTGAATAGCAGAGAAAATAAATTCTGTATGGGGAGAATTCAAACAACCTAAAAGTACAGCCCTACTTAGGTTGCCAACACGTTATGAGGCTCCCTATTGGGCGCACATTGCAATTTTGAAGATGTAGTTCGCAATGAGAGATGCTTTTATTGAGACCAAACATCGCTTAAATCTTTAATGAATCGGAAGGGAGAATTTCAAGTCCCGTATTGACTGTTCCTGCGTAGAAAAGCTACCAGTTGAGTGTCGTTCAGCTCAACATCATGTGCCAACACACGTGATGCAACTTGTTAGTGTTTGTGACATTGCAAGCAAAAGATCAAATTACCATTATATTAGTACCCCAAATTATTGAGGTATGAGGTGAATAATATGAGGTAAATAATTGTAAAAATATTTGCAGCCCAGAATAAAATTGTACCAGTTTAAAAACGTGACATCGGACCTGAGGTCTACAGCTATGCATATGCAAGACGGAATGGAACGCGCCTACTAGCTTACTTTCCCGCATCAACTGAATAAAATACCACAAGTAAAATGCAGCTCCAATCACCTCATAATCTCCCCTCGTAGCCAGAGGAGGGGTAGGCATCGTCTTATCCCCCGTCTCGCCCATCATCCGCTCTTCAATTTGCTCTGCCGATCAGTGCACACGGTATCCATTGCTCGAAGATATGACTAAGGCCAAAGGAACCCCCATCTATCACCAAGGTTCTCGAAACCTGCAAATGCCTTGAATTCCAAGACCTGCGCGCGACTCTGGGCCGGACACAGCACGAGCGCAATTTAAGCTGTTTCTGTGCAAAGACAATTCACTGGAGTCGTCAAGCTTTAAAGCACCAAGAAATGCCACCAAAGAATTATCACTGATAATGCATATGCCGAGTAAATGCTCGTAGACCCAGTATCTTCTGTCCAGACCTTGAGAGTCATCGTGGGCTTCCGGGTCTGGTTAAACACACCCACGAGCGTATTGGCGCTTCGTATATTATCTGCTAGTATGACGACCATCATCTATGGTCTCATATATTTTTGTGGCACTCGGGCCTTATCATGAGTTTTCCGTGTCTGAACCTTTCACGAGTCGCGGGGAGATGGTACGCCACGCAAATGCCCCAGATATTACGAGTAGTATACCATATTATCAAGCGCTGTAGTGACAGGTGAAAGCTTGTGGAACAGGATGAAAAGGTCGAGTACGTCCACAGATAGTTTTATTGCTGACAGCAGTTGGTGAAGATATCGGAGAAAGGTCTTTAAACACGATCCCTTCCAGCCACGCTATACCATCTCAAGAGATCCATCCCGGAAAAGAGACCCTGCTGCAGTGAGATCACTGACACCCACATAGATCAAAAGACAATATCCTCAAAAGACTTCTTCAACGACCCTGCAATACTATCCCTTCTTAGTCCCAGCCCCCTCAAAAAGTGGCGTCTCCTCCCTCAAGCTCCTCCAATAATCAGTCGACCTAAATAACCCCTCACAGCCCCTAATAACCCACGCCCATTTGCTCGCAAAAGTTTCAGTAACCTCCCAACCGCTCTCATCCCATGGATCTCGCCATACGATAATCCCATTTCTTCTCCCCAACTTCGCACTTTTGACTCCTCTCATTTCTCGACACAGCTCTACTTCATCAAATTGATTCTTCTTCCGCAGCAAATTATCGCGTAGCTGAGGAATCGGTAAGAGATCTATCCATGGATGATGAGGAATCTCACGTTGAAGGGGTGTCGGGTGAAGAGATAAGGGCAGGGAAGATAGATCAATAGTAAAGGATGTGTGTCCTGCTGTAAGATCCACGAAGAATCGAGAGCATGCTGTTCGGGCCATAGAGGAAGTTGTTAGACTGAGAGTTTGAGCGTTGGCTATGAAAGCTCGGGTGGTGTTAAATTGGATCAATGTCATTGCGTTGTCTGACGACGGGGATGAATGGAGGTAGTTCTGGTAGACGCGGGTGGAGAAATGTAAGAGGAAGAATTGTGTTTCCGGGGAGTCGGGTCGACATGCTTGGATTAAATCGATGTCTTCAATATTAGTTGGATTTGTGTGTGCAAGAATTTGTTGTGGGTTTATTTGTTGTGCAGTAGTTCTATATGATTCCAGGGCTTGATGATCACCATGCGAGAAGTGAACATGCGGTGGTAGTGGAGTAGGAATTAGAGCGGAATCTCCGTTGCGGAGTTGGGACCCCTCTTTCTTTTGTACTTTAGATTTCAGAAGCTTCCGCTTTCCTATAAGTTACCCCCCGCATTAGCCTACGCGTAACGACCGGATAGTGAAGAAGCCTCACTCGTGACTCTCTGATTCAACCGATCTTGCATCTTTTTTCTTCGGCGTTTGTCAGTTATACCCGTCCAATCCTCTTCCAAAGATAATATGCCATCCTGATGAGGCATAAGCTGCAAAGGAATAAGATTTTGCTCCATATTTCAAGTCGTATATATCATATGTATTCGACTGACTTCTTCATTCCTATCAGATTGTAGTCCAAACCCAGGTTTCTGTAAATAATATGAATGGAGGGTAGTGCTGCAGGGCTTCAGAATTGATTAAATATTCTGCAAGTCACTGACTTACACGCTAGCTTGACCACTTTTGAGTTTGCCTGGAACGCTGCATGAGGTTAGAACTGACTACTGAGGTACGAAGCATCATAAATGGTGGTAAAAGGGTCTCAAGGCACGGCCCAAAAACAGCGAAAAATCACAGAGATCGAAATCATGGGAATTGCCCAAAGCTCATGATTCGCTCAAGGCCTAATTGACTTGAGGTCTGTGGATCTCTCCCCGCGTACACGTACTATTTCCAGAGCGTACCGCATAGGACCGTTACTCGTATCATTCAAATAATGTATTAAAGTTACTCATTACGCCTTATCGGGACATGTAAAGAAAGTTTAGTTTCGTCCTTACACTGATAGGTGATATCGGTCTAGCATGTTCAAGCTGGGGTTGGCTACCTATGATCGTTAATAGGAGTTTCTCGATTATTCAATTAAACGAAATCTAAGAA